TAATTCAACAATTAGGGTTATTAAATTCAGAGCAATTTCTCTTTATAAATCCTAAGTTACGAATAGATTTGTTATATATTATGTTAATATGTTCTGGAAAATTTAGATCATCTGATAATACAAACACCTAAATGTCTAAACTTTTTGTAGTTTGAAGCGACGACAAAATTAAATAAATGAGCATTTAGAATTATTTATATTTAAGCCAATTAATGAACACCATTGAAATAGACTATTTAAGTCAATTTGTAATTAATTTATGTCATCGATAGAATTAATAGTGATATATAATTTTAAATCATCAGCAAATATTAAGAATTTACAATATTTTAATATATTGGGAAAATATCATTTAAAAAATAAAAAATAACAAGGGAGATGATTCAATAAATTCATTGGACTTTTATTATTGAATTTTGCCAAAAGTAAAAGTTTACAATTATGGAAAACATCTTTAATATTATTCATAAACAACAAAAACAACAACGGGAATAAATGAACCCCCTGTGACACACCACGTTATTAGGCGAAGATATAAAATCGCCCAGTTTAACTAACTGTATTCTATCAGATTCTATCTGATAAATAAGATTTGAACCTAATTTAATATTGATCCACCGAAAACCAAATTGTTCTATTTTTTTTTTTAAAATACACACATCGACAGTATCAAAAACCTTTTTAAGATCTTTATATAATCATTATATGGATGGGATGGGCAACTCAAAGTTACTAGAGGGCCAATTTTTAAAAAATTAAAATCTAGCGGGCCAGAGCATTTCTCGTAAAAGTGGATATTTTAGAATAGGTAATTTTTCCCAAAGCTTATGTCAATCTCTTTTGTAGATAAACTTTAAAATTGTATGTTGCAATTTGAAAATGTATCGCGGGCCAGATAAAAATGGCTCACGGGCCACCAGTTGCCCACCCCATTATATTATAATGCATCAACCTGAGCACTATTACTAACTAATTCGACGAGATCTGTATAATACACTAATAAATTGGTCATTTTAATATATTTTATGTAACTTAGGTTACGCGTTGAGTCCGCGTGTTTGATGTGCCGCACCCTCATACGCAAAAGCATACTCCGCTGACCCATGAGTACATATCGCATATATTGTTAAACGAACATCTAGATACGATCCGTCAATTTTATTTATACGTCCTGTATTACCAGTGTCCGACAGCAATTGGAGGTCGGCCAAAGGGTGCTACTTCATACCACCGGAAGCCACCGTACGGCATGGGCTGACTCAGAACCCAACCCAACCGTACAGGTTATTTCCTGTATACATTAAAAGCTTTTAAACCACCCCTCAATTATTACACTTATATATAATACTTATAATCTTGAAGACACATTCCACGATTCAGGTTTTGTCGGATTGTAGTCAGGTGTTTTGTCATTGTTTGCTTTCGCATAGTGTTTAAAGGCTTGCACTAGCCACCATGAATGCTCTGTTCCATCATCAGTAGCATGTCATAGTCATCAAGAACTTCAGCTTTACCCCTGTGTACTTCAACATGTAATAGAAGCTAAAACCGGGCGTGGTGTAATAGTATGCAGAGTCCAAGTTGTATGTTGAAGTAGAGATATCGCGGAAGTTCTTAAACACATCAGCCAATAACAATACGTCGATCTTAATTTATAGGTCGCTGTTCTTACCGAGGGTTGAGCAGCCGTAACGGTTCCACACCTCCGTAGCATATCTATAATTATCATCATCATCGATATTCGATTCACATTACTGACTATAGAAAGCGTCCTGAGGGAGTAGCTCCGTTTCGTCCAATTTAGCACAACTTTCAGTGTATTCGTAGGGGTATACACCCTGGTGGAACATTTAGGAAGCAATATACTTTTCCTCGGAATTCGATGTGACCGAAATCTTTTGGTCGTCTTACCCCAATTAAGTGACGATAAAATGCGTACCGTAACATGAAAGATTATGCAAGAAACACTGTACAAATTTGATCATCTTCAATTTCAGGTTCCATGCATTGTACAACGTCGGTCTAAATCGGCACAATAAATGACAGTAGTCTGCGACTTTAGGATTGGAATCTTTGAATGTTATGCGGCATAAGTCTTATACCACTTTCTACCCGTACCTGTGCACATCATCGACAGAAACTCGGATAGCAACGTTGGTTATGCACAACAATTTAGAAATGTTGCGCGTCACTTGTTACAGCCATCACAAATGCATTGGCAACTTCTTCGATCATCCATCAAAGGATACCGAGGCGCAAAATGCACTCGATCGGCAGAAAAAGAGCTCTTATCCACATATCCATGTGATTTAAACATTAAATATTAAACGCTTAATTGAAGCAACTGTGTAGTACATAAAAAACAACATGACAAACAAAAACTTATAAAACTTAACCTATTACTAACTGTGATCCATTCTCAGTTTTCGACCAGTAATGATAAGCGGCCGATGAGGATGTGAAGGTACACAGACAACCGATTAATCGCACGCTATTTATAAGTTCGCGTGCGACGCAAACAAATTCTAAATTGGGTATAATTTTAACTAAGAATGTAATTGAAACCACCATATTCAATAAAAGTCATACTTAAAAAAAATAAATGCAAATATTTTTCGTCAAAATTCATTTATTTTCAATATTTTATTAAAACTATAACGGTTAAAAATAAGCTTCAGATATTATTTTGATAACTAAGACGACGGAGCAACACTCTTTGACGGTTGTGTCATAGTTGAAGTCTGGCTTTTACTGAAATAATATTAAATAATTTAGTATAGTTAATTTTATGAAGAAATTTCAAAATGTTACTAAGTAATTGTATATTCTCTTATATCTCTATGGCAAATATATATTAATATTTTAATATATATTAGATTATATTGAAATTGTATTGTATAAGAAGGAAATATTAAACTTTTTTTTTTGGAAAAGGCAGCCTACTTCTTTTTAATATACTTATTGAGTTTACAATAAAGCTGCAGAAATTTTTCATGAAAATATATAATTATTTAACATTTAAATCTTTATTATTATTTTTTTTTTTTCTAAAAAAGTTTAATGATTAATTATATTTTAGGATTTTTCGAAATTTAAGTAAATATAAAATAACAATATACAAAAATTTTACCAAAGCTAGGAAAAATAGTTGATTTTTCTAACTTGCAAAGTTAAATTTAAATTAAATCATATAAGTTATAATTATATACCACTATGTTTTAAATGTAATCTCAGATAATTTACTATTTAATTAAAAAAAACCAGTGCGTGTTAGGAGTATGCGTATATGAAATAAAACTTCTTTCAAAATCATTCAACTAATAAAATTTTATTTTTAATTGAAATTAATTAAATTTATTATTATTATAATTATTTATTTTTTTATTCTATTGTTTGTAGCTCTTTATATTAATTATTTTCATTAAAACTAAAGAAAACCACAAAATATTTATTAAAAATATTTAATGTTTTAAAGTTTTGCGACGATGTGTGAAAATTGATTAAAATCTAACATGGTTTTTTTCAAAATTTTTTATGTACAATTAAAATTATTTGAAATCCAATTATTGAAAGCATTTTAAATAAACCACACTATTTTTTTAAAATACAGTGTTAAATTATAATATAAAATATACTTAATTATTTAGTATTATTAATAAAACTACTAATAATAAAAATATGTACATAGATAATATTTATTTAATTTACATTAATATATATGCTATTAATTAAATTTATTGCTATTACATTTATTTATATAAATAAATACAATACGAGTTTAACAAAGGAAAACACGAGGTAGGTGAAATGAGGAAACCAATGACAATAGGCTAGGACGTGATTGGAGAGGTAGAAAATTTTAAATATTTAGAATCATTTGTACAAAAGAGCGGTGGTATTGACGAGGATGAAAGACACAGGATTAAGTGTGGGTGGTTAAAGTGGAGAGAAGACTCTGGTATGTAATGCGGTAAAAGAATTCTAAGAGGATGAAAGGTAAATTCTACAAGACTGTAGTGAGACCAGCTATGATGTATGGTTCAGAGTGTTGGATGGTTGATAAGAAAGTAGAGCAGAGAATGAGTGCAGCAGAGATGAGAATGATTAGATGGATGAGTGGAGTGACTAGAAGAGATAGAATAAGGAACGAGCATATAAGATGGAGTATAGGTGTAGCGTCAATCGTGGATAAGATGAGAGAAAATAGACTTAGATCGTTTGGTCATGTTATGAGGAGAGAAGAATCGGAAGCTGTAAAAACAGTTATATAAATGAATGTTGAAAGAAGAGGAGGTAGAGGAAGACCAAAAAAGAGATGGAGAGATGCTATTGAATGCGATATGAAGACAGCTGATGTGAGCGTAGTTAATGTGGGAGAAAATGTCAAGTGGAAGTTTGGGATAAGGGAGGCTGACCCCAAAAAGTTGTTGTTATTAATCACAAATATACATATAAAATTTTATTTAGTACATAACAAATTTAGAGGTACTCCCAACATCATGAATTTCAGAGAAATTCACAAAATTTTGTGAAAAATTACTTAATTATTAAATATAAATTAAAGCCTGACAAAACAACGAAAGAGCCTACAGATATCTGGCAAAAAGCATCGCTTCCTACTGTCAGCCTTAAGAGAGTACTACAACTTATTTGATTTTACCATAACAAATATAGAAGCTTATTAAAACCTTATGAAGGCCGTCAAACGAACAAGAAATATCAAGAGAAGATAACTGAATTCGTTACTGGACCCCAAAGGTTATTTGATATTTGCAGCTGAAAATGCAAACTTATCTCAGAGTGTAGTGCTCAAAAAACAGACGTGTTCCCAAGGAAGAAGTATCTTTTACTTGATCAAAGAACTACAAGAAAAATAATGATTGGCGGTGTAGATTTGGTTGCGACTGTGAAAAATATGAAAAAATTGAAAAGACAAGAAAAAGAATTAATGTATAATAAAGTGATAATGGATTCTAACCAACCGTGTTATTCTCGTTTTTTGTCCGAAGACTTAACCATCAAAAGCAATAGTCCTTATCAATTGCCAAAACAAATAGCTGCGCGACCACCAAAGAAAAAGAGATTAAATTTACCATCATTAGCCCTCGCCTGCAATCGTCCAAGTGCTGTCATTGATCCTTCAAAGTTGCGCTGTGAAAGAATAAAAGTCAGATTAGCATTACACGATGCAGATCACAATAAAATTATACGCGGAATTAATTTTTATGGTAGAAAAGATAAGACTTTGGTTAGTATTCAGAAGGAAGGCAAATTTTTTAGAAAAAGAGTAATAGAAGACAATTATGTGATTTTATCAGAGCCAGGAAGTTATTATTTCGGGCATGTTACGTGTGAATTGAGAACTGCTAAAGGTATTGAAAGTAGAATAATAAATTACTTGGGAACAAAATCGGTGGAATTGGATCAAATAGCTGTTATTGGTTACGATGGTACAGTCGTGAGTACAGGTTTGAAAGGAGGTGTTGTTCGTTTTATGGAGGAAGAACTTAATAAACAATTACAATGGTTTGTCTGCCAGTTACATTCGAATGAGTTAGTATTGCGACATATTTTATTGCATTTGGATGGATAAACTACAGGGCCTAAATGCTTTTCAGGTCCTATTGGATCTGAATTACAAAAATGTGAATCAATGCCAATTGATGAATTTACCACCATTCCCTCCATATTACCTGAAGTCGCTAGAAATGAGTTGAGGACCGACCAAAAATATTTTTACGATGTGATGGCAGCTATCAGAACTGGAATTTTTTCTCCCAATTTAGCTAATATTACACGTGGACCTCTGAACCATTCTAGATGGCTCACAACAGTAAATAAAACAGACCTCGAAGAAAACTTAGTGATATTAGCCACGTTCGTAATGAGGGTTTATGGTCCAATGTGGTTCACAATAAAATGTAATCCCTCATATACAAATGGAGCTAAGCACATGTATCAAATAATTAGCCTATAATTCGATTTTTGAACGCGCCTTTGAAGAAAATCCTTGATAAAGTAATCCAACGAAATGGATATTTTGGTCTCCCAGAAAATATTCTTATTGCTATGTTTGGAGACAACAGAGAAATCATACGTAAACTAGCATATCAGCGAATTTTAAAAGCAAGAGCAGAGAATACCATAGTGCTTCGAAAATTTTAAGTGCCTGCTTTAAATTTCAATGCTAAAGATTATATCGACTTAATTACGTGGCAAGACTGTAAAATAACTGAGCCACCTCTTACTTCCTTAAATGAAAGAAATTACTAAAAGCGGTTTGACTACAAGTCAGAATATTCAAGATTTTCCTTGCCATACCCAAGCCATAGAGCGCTGTATCAAATTAGTGACAGAAGCTTCAAGTACAGTTTGTGGAGAAAATAAACGAGACGGTTTCATATGGGCAAGACTATTATCATAGCAGCAAATGCCTAATTTTGAAACAAAATAACAAATTAATTCCAAATGATCTACTTATTTCTGATTTTTTTTTATTCCTTGATAATAAATTTTTTTTAATTTTTCTTGATAAAAAACATTAAAACAACTAATCAGGCTTTTATTTAACGTATCTCAATGTAGTTTGTTATATAATGGACTGGAAATTTAGAAAAATACTATCATTAAAAAATGTTTTAAATTTTATATTTTTTAATTTTGAAGTGCGTTGAGGCACTTCAAAACATCAAGACAAGTAAACAAACTTTTGTATACTGGATTTACTCATTAAAAGGCAACTTTGTATTGCTTTTCCATTAAAAAAAATTTTTTCATACATTATCACTCCACTCTAGTGTACACTGTCTCTCCTAATTCTATATTTTCAGTTGTTGACCGGCATTCAATGTTACCGGGTAATGTTGTTACTATTGTGTATTATATATTAAAATGTCATTTTCTCAAGAAAATCTTTAGTTCATGTATTATAATTTAACAATAAAAGAATCTACAACAATAAATTCTCGAGATTAATTTTTATAAAAAATAAATTATTGGAAAGATTTTATAGAAGATTTAGTATGGACTTTACTCCAATATTGAATCTGAAGTATTTACTAAAATATTGATTTCTTTATTACATGTTTTGATAATATTAATATAAGTAAACTTAATTATGAACAAGTGAGGTACCGTAGGACTAGAGAACATTTAATACTAAAACGGGGAGTAATATGGGGAAATAAAAACAATTTATCCTGTATTAATAAGAGTATTAAATCAAAAAATAATTATGAACCTCAGGAACGCAAACTTCGTCCCCGTGAGAAACTATGTCTACCCAAAAGATATACTTAATATTTTAAATTTTACGTCTCATAAAATAATATCATATGTTTATATGTTTAATAATTATATGTCATAATGATTAACATTTAATATTCTATAAAAAAAATGTATTAATCTATGTTTAAAAAAAAAAATAAATATCTTTGTTTTTTGTATATACAGTGAGGGGATGATGTGGGGAGGCTGGATCTCGTGTGAACTGCTCGCTCAACGCAGTCACCGCCTGTATCCAGCAAGGAGGGAGTGGACTGAGCCTCGGCCTGGACAAGACCGAAGCGGTCTTGTTTACGGGCAAGTATAAGTTCATTCCTCCACGGCTCGCCGTGCTGGAGAAGGAGATCCCACTTAAGGATTCCATGACTTATCTAGGTCTGATCACAGAGAAGTATTAAGTTTGGGGCGAACATTACTCGTGTGACCCAGCGGGCCCAGAAAGTCATGAATAGCCTGGTGAGACTCATGCCCAATCTGGGAGGGCCGAGGGAGATGCGTTGCAGACTATTAGTTAGCGTCGTACATTGGGTCCTCCTATATGGGTGCCCGGTTTGGATGGATACTCTTGAGTATTCGTCTAAAAACCGCGAAGCCCTGCTCAGGGTGCAGAGGCGGGCGGCGATCCGGACAGTTTCGTTGTACCGTACGATGTCCGGAGTTGCGACGAGTATCCCGTCGTCACTGCCACACGCCCAGAAACTTGCCGCCGATCATGAACTCCGCTGAAAGTGTGGCCTGCCCCTCAAACCCGAGGACCGGCTGTCGCTCAGGTGGATGACCATGCTCCGGTGGCAGACTAGCCTCTCGGAGGAAACGACAAGTGGCGAGTGAACCAGGTCCTTCATAGGACCCCAGTGGACAGATGGGTGGACCGGACTCACGGTGAGATGATTTATCGTCTCACCCAAGTATGTCCGGCCACGGCTGCTTTAAAGAGTCCTTGCACTGTATTCGTAAAGCAGCCGCGCTGACGTGCGACCACTGCTTATTACATTGTTTTGATAATATTAATATAAGTAAACTTAATTATGAACGTTAATTATTTTACATAAAGTTTTACCAAACGTTCCTTGATTTCATGCTATTATAAAATGACATACTAACAAATGTGAACTTCGTGCTTTTACAATTAGAGCACTTTCCTCGTAAACCTGCCTTTTTGTTTTTAGTTTTTAACAAAGTTGCTTTTCCATCCCAACATGTCTTTTGGCGACATTTAACACAAAATGTTGAAAAATAAGTTTTTGATTCAGACATCGTGGAGAACCTAATCTCAAAAATATTTTTATTGTATTACTTTGAAACTACTTTTTCAGAAATTTAAAAGTGTATTTTTTTTATTAGAAGTTGAACCCTATAGATTAATTGCTCAATAATCACAATATATATAAAACTTAAATCCTTCAAAACAATTATTGAAATACACGATGGTGATTGGCTTTGTACTTTACTGTTAAATTAAAAAATAATAATAGTAACAAATATTTAGAAATTAAGAATTAAGCCAGCATAAATAGATTCATGATTTAATTATAATTAAATTACATATTTTTGTAATATTAGTAATTCTATAATATAAAAATGAATCGCAAAATGTGTTGGTAAGCGCATAACTCAACAACGCCTCGACCAATTTGGCCAAATCTTTTTTTAAAATGTTCGTTTAAGTTCAAGGATGGTTTTTACGGCGAGAAAAATTAGAATTATTGCTGGAAAAACCCAAGAGTGTTTACTTAGTTAGTGTTTGTTTAGTTCGTGATTAGTGAAAAAATAATTTATATTTGATATGCCTCCTATAAGACGAAGCAATTTAGGTAGAAGAACCAGAAATGCTACAAACCAAGCTAATTACCGATCTAATCGTACTGCACAAGAACGTGACGACGGAAATGAACGTGAAAGAATTCGGATATCACAAACGCGTGAAGCGCGAGCGCGACATTCAACTAATAATCGCGCAAGTTTGAATCGAGCTGCTTTCAGTTACGATGTGTCAATTGACTACAGTAACTACCAATGTGTTGTTATTGGTTCTATGAACTCGGTTTGCTCACACTGTAAGGCATTAAAATACAAAAACGAAGCCAATGGATTGTGTTGCGCAAATGGTAAAGTGAAATTGATACCATTGGATCCACCACCAGAACCATTGTACTCATTGGTTTCAGGAATAGGAACAGATTCTATACACTTTTTGACACATATCCAACAATATAACAATTGCTTTCAAATGACTTCATTTGGGGCAACAAATGTAGTTCGGGAAAATTTTATGCCAACTTTCAAGGTATGTATTATAGCAGTTACTCATAATTATTTTAGCGAACAAAATTTTCTGTCACCAAAGTTAAGATGTGTCACTAATCTTCAATTTCTTAATCACTTATATATCACTTAGTCATCATATTATATGGTGATTCAGTTTCAGTGACACTTTTATTATATTTTATATTTGATAGATATTAGTTAAAACTAAATATATACTTTTTAAGATCAAATATTATTTAAGTTTGATCACTGACAATCCATTAATTTATACCACACCATAATATTTTTTAGCTTCGATGCGAAGCGGAGAAGGTATTAATTTTACTATGATGTGTTTTTTTTTTTTTTATGTCTGTTGCCACTTTTTCTCAGCTCTCACTGGACCGATTTCTTTCAAAAATACGTCAAAAAATCACAAATCGTATCTAGTTGAAGACATTACCCTTAAAAATTGAAAAAAATTCCCTTGTTCCCCGCAAATGGGGGAAATATCCAAAAAAATTTACAAATTTAAAAATCGCTAATTTTCGAAATTTTTTCACTTTTTTTTCTTAAAACTTCCATAACTTTTTGAAAAATAAACAAATCAACATAATTTTTTTTTATACTAAAACCTTAGAGTTTTATTGTTTGTATGGAAAATAAAACGTGAAGAAATAGATTAATTGGTATGATGTCAAAACTTGGTCCTGCTTGTGAACCCTATGAGATAATGTCCATTGATACAGTAGGTGGTTTTAAAAATAATAGATCTACAAAAAAGTATATGCACATTTTAATTGGCCATTTTAGTAGATATGTCTGGATTTCAACTACTCGGGGACAGTGTGCCAAAGATTTTATTAACCTTATTGATCCAGTTGCAAGAAATAATGAAATTACTATATTATTAGCGGATCAATATACTAGTTTAAACTCTGATGAATTAAACAAATATCCAGTTAATGTTTACTAGTGTAAACTGAACACAATCAAACGGATTGAACGAGCGAATAAATCAAACTTTGGTCTATAGGATAATATGTAAGATAAATGGTGGTAGAAAACAAGCTTGGTCAACAATAGCCGAAGAATGTGTTAAAGAGTACAACAGTGTAACAAAATTTGAACCAGCTTATTTATTATTTGGAAAAAAATCAAACATTAGTCCAATAGAGACATCGAACAACTTGGTAGAAGATAAGATAAAAAAAATTTTGAAGCAAACAAAAAAAAGAGTGGATAAAAATAGAAAAGTGCATGACTTCAAAGTTGGATATCAAGTTTACATTGAGAATGGAAATAAAATAAATAGAAGAAAAATGAACAAAGTTAGAACGGGACCTTTTCGCATACTGAGGTAAAATTAATACCTTCTCAGCTTCGTATCGAAGCTAAAAATCATAGTAATACAGTTATGTACGTAATTATTTCTATTGTTATATGGCCCGAAATTTCAAAATAGCTTGCTTAAAACCTCGCACACCCCCAAAAAAACTGAAATGAAGCTCCTGATGCTCCAAAGTTTTCCTAGTAAAATAAAAAATTTAATGTATAAAAATATCAGTATTACCATAGTTGTAATTGATAATGTATTTTGGTAGATCTTGTTCAAACTTGTTGGAGGTTTTTTTACGTAATTCTGTATTCATTTGGATGTACGGTGACAACCATCGAGATTGTTTAAACTTTAAGACTGCAGTTTTGTGATAACCACTCCGTGTTTTACCGCTTGTTTTAATGTTCGATAGTGTATAACGTAATTACGTTTTCGAAACAACGTGGTCACCAGTTTGTTGTATTTGACAGACGGTAGAGGTGGTCTCTCGTTTACCGGAAAAAATGGTAAATCGTTGGGTAAATAGTGCAAATGTTGGGGATATTCTACATCGAGTTGCAAGAGATATCCATAATCAGCATCCTCAGCTGTGTTCCCTTCAAAGTATTCCCTTCAATGTAACAATCGATCGTTCAAAATATCCGAGTGGCATCGGTTCCAACATTGCTTAAAAACAAATGTTTTTTTACACAAACATTCATTTTTTTTATTAAAAAAAATACCTGTTCCATATAAATTTGTAGCATCTAAGTATTGTAGATATTTATGTGGAATATTGGGAGATTGTAGTCGGGGATGCCTGGGTGATTTGCTCGAGCTTACCGCTGATTCACCTATATTAAATATATATATATATAATTAAAAATATATTTATATTTTTAATAACACACATAATTGTGTCAAATCTCCACGTATACCCAATTCAAACTGTTGAATGGAATAGGTTATATAATTAAAAGATTTAGAAATTATTCGTAATGTAATAGTGTAAAATATCAAATATCAAACTATATAATATAAAAGATGTACAACGGCAACGGTTACTTTATTCAATAGACGGAAAAACTACGACTAAATTGTAAATATGTGTACAATAGGCTGCATTGAGTAAAACCTTATATTCGAGAAAGGAATGTGTCCCTTTTGACCTTGTACTATACTAACATAAGTAAAAATACATTGAACTGTTATCTTACATAATATTACTGTACTCAATGAGTTGTTTAATAATATCAACACAAACATTAATAACATCTGGGTCAATCAATTCATTGCGAATATCAGTTTAATTTAATATAGCTCAAATGACAAGGCTGGACATTAGTAATAATGAGTGAGATTCAGGGAATAATTTTTCAAACTCCCAGCGCGAAACTTTTCAAATATGTCAGCAAGTACCTAAAAAAATAAATGTATTTATACTGTTACGTCGCTATTTAGGTGTTTAGCCTAAATGCCCGTCGACAGTATTCTAAGGGACCAATGGGGGATAGCTGGCTAGGCCATATCTACCTTAGGTACTGAAGTTTCCTATTTAATTTATATTCCCTTAGAGGAACTACCAAGGGTCGCACTACAATATATATATATAACACTTTAGGTTAACAACGATATAAATAAATATTTATTAAACAATTGAAATATTAAATAGATAATACAACCTGCTGGACACCTAGAGATGTTATAATCCAACAGGGAGCTGACGGCGACACACACACACACTATAATATACGGGGTAGCAAAGTTAAGTTAATTATCAGGCAAAAGTAGTGATCGCGAAGATGGTAAAATGTCAACTGTCGATAGGGATATCT